GAAACCAGGTTGAGATGCATGGCAGCACCTGAGTTTAAGAGGAGCAAACTGAACCCAGCACATCCCAATGCATTTGGAAAACATACATACCATACTACTTCAAATATAAGCCACCCTTGAATTTAAGATGCATCCTGTTTTTGAATGTGGGTTTTAGAAAAAAATTAGGAAGGTACACATTCCTTGAATTTAAGATGTATCTCAATTCTTCAACAGGGGAAAAATGGGTAAAAAGGTGCATCTTATGTTCAAGGCAATACAGTATTTCTATCAGTAATTACACTTTTCCATTCTTGTTATATGCAATATTCAAGGCCAATAGGAAACCATTTTGCTTTCTTTAGGTTTTAAATTTAAATTTCAAGAATTCTGTTACTGGTGAAGAAGACACCTTTGGGAAGGAGCAGGTGGCACCACTGTTCAGATTCAAGTCTAAAACAACCATCTCTTGTAATTTAAGAAGTGTAGATCTAATTCATAAAATCCATGCTTCAAATTTTACTGTCATCGAACATGACATAACTGTTCCCAATCAATAAGTATTTGCAATTATAGTTCTTATGTTACATCCTCTCGTCAACTGCTGCTGGCCCACACCAGCTCAGTCATCATGACCATATTTTACTGGCTCAGATTCAACACTCCCCCAACCTGGAGGAACAGGTCCCCATATTTACTCCCACTAGGAACTGGGTAGTAGTTATACCACCAGGCATTGGGTTCCTTCTCCTTGCCTCCAACAACTCGTAGGGCTACAGTGGAGGTATCTGAGGCTACATCCACATGGGGTCCAACTAAAAACTCCAACTGGTTCTCCTTACCTAGCCTTCATATGAACCACATATATAACATCACTTTCAACAATTCCTCTGCTGTTGCACGGTTATTTGTTACCATGGAAATGTGTTTACAATGCTGTTGCCTACCAATGGATGTCTTTTTTGATCTGCTATTCCAGCTTTATCTGTCATGTCACAATATAAAACATTAATTGCTGAAAATGATACCCAACACACATTTTAAGCAGGTCTATGAAACTTGATTTGGTTCATCCTGGTCTGTCACACTAGCAATAGCATAAAAGACCAACACTGTCTAAATGTTCCTTTCTTTCTTTAGCAATTCATCCATTACATGTTTTGGTCAGAGCAACCATCTTCAGAAGGGCATATAAGTACATGCAGAAACCACCATTACAACATCACTGATCACTACCAATACATAGAGACACCACCATTACAATGTCATGAATATAAAACACTAGCCTTTAACAATTACAGTCATGAATATAAAACACTAGCCTTTAACAATTACAGCAATGTGCTTGAATTTATTAAAACATTTATAAATCATTACAACTAGCCACTTACAAGTATGCTTTAAAAACTTTGTTAAAATCCAGAACCAATTTGGATTGTGTCCTTTATGTTGCTTCTCTTTAAAGTAAGATGAGTTTCTACCATGTCGTGGTTCTGTTGTTTGAGGAACAGGACTCTTTATTGTCGTCCAGTTGTTCGGGCCATGCTGTGTTGTTACAACACAACATGGACCAGACTGATCAATGACATTGTAATTGTGATTTCTGCATGTATTGATATGTCCTTCTGAAGATGGTCGCTCTGACCAATTGCTGAAAGAAAATAATATATATCAACCACACTGGATGGCGTTGATGATCTTTTATACTAGGCCCATGAAACAAAATTTACATTATCAATCAATATACCACAGGATACAAATGTCTGCCAGTCTGCTCTGCCACTGTAAAGTATGGTCAGAGGATGCCCACTTTCAACAAGAACCAAGACATATGTTCATGGTGACTGCTAACATCTGCCATCAGTATCTATGGTACACCGTTTTTCCTTCCGCAGTAGGTATACTTTACTTCCTGCAATATAAATGATGTTACTTTGACATTTATTTAATTTGGAATACTCAGTAATAAAGAAACTGGTTAAAATTTCTAGTTCCTTATGTGTAGCAGTTCCCTTGCAATAAAAAAATAGTTTACTTAACCAAAGAGTACAAAGTGTAATCTATCAGAATGGATTCATTTGCTAAGTATTGGTGCATTATAACATTTGTTATAAAATACATCAGCAGTTACTTTGTCTATGTCCTTAATCCTTCAGTAACAATGAATGGTTATCAGACTCCAGTAAAAGCATATAAGAGCAGATTGTGTCGTATCAGGTAACAGAAATATCTGAATTCAATAAGTCTGAGAATAAAAAATTAGTGACTTCGATCAAGAGTAGTTCTTATGTAATCATTCTGCAATTATAAAAGGAACAATATGAGAATCTGCCACTCTCACTAGGGACTATCAAATCATTAATTGATGAAACTTTGCATAACGCAGTATTCTGATCATTGGACATGAATTCAGAATCTGAAATATCATGGCAAAGATAGAAACCTGTTATTCATTGCACATATTGCCATATATACTCTCATTATTCCAAAGCACTGTCCATTTCCTATTTTTCATGAAATGGACAAAGTTATTCACAAGCCGTAAGATTTGAGGCTTTCACGGTAGTGACTATGAAGAAAGCAATCTTCTGGGATTTGGCACTGTGTATATGTGGTGTTAACCGACATTTCGGAGGAACGTATTGCCTCCATCTTCAGGGTAGAAGAAAAATATAAGAAATCTGCAAGTGAAGAGACCGTGAGAACCGGTACAGAGAACAGTCTGCTTTTACCGGTTCTCACGGTCTCTTCCCTTGCAGATTTCTTATATTTTTCTTCTACCCTGAAGATGGAGGTGATACGTTCCTCCGAAACGTCGGTTAACACCACATATACACAGTGCCACATCCCAGAAGACTGCTTTCTTCTTATTCACAAGAGCTGTACACTGAGCATCTGGTGTGTATGACCAAAGAAAAAAAAAAAACACAGGAATTAACCTTTAAACACCAGAGTTTTGAAATGGTAGTAGCTTGAGCTGGCTAGACTTTACTTAAATGCCCACTGCTGGTGTGCCTTTAAATGGCTGTTTTTGCCCTGTGTTTAAATGTCTGCTCCTGTTAGGGCACTTGCACTGTATTTGAAAGTGCCGAATATAATATAATTAAGTTATAAACTATTTTTAATTTTTTTCTTGTAATTTTGATTCTCACTTCTGTCTCACAACCCTATGGGCTCTCATGGCCTGGTACAGGGATAGCTTTACTTTACTTTTTACTTCTTCACATAACAGCTCTGCATTATAACACCATTCCTGCTTGTAACACTTGAAATATTTTCACATTCTCTGGTGCCATAAAACAGCTGGAAGCAATAAAGTCATTTGGTTCTCTGACGGCAGCTTTCACATCTTTGTTGCACTCTTCAGATAGTTCAGTCATTTAACTAAAGGACGGAAAAGTGAAAACATGGCCTTTCATGAGAGGCTAGAGGAAATATTCATTGTTCCCTACTTCAGTGCCAAGCCCTGCCACTGAAGCTGCAAGAGAATACTGCCCTTTCTATGGTTGCAACCCAACACTTGCATCACAGCTGAGATAGACTTCAGTTTTCTTTGATTTCAAACCAAATTTGAATACCGTAGTTTCATTTTACCATACAATGGCAGTGAAACGTTGTTTGGAAGATGATGAAATTGAAAGGCAGTTGAAATGCAGGATATGTGATGTGTGACTGCTTTCTTGGGTGCTTCAGGGAATCTTACACAAAGGTGAGATTCAGTTACATGACAGGGCGGTTGAAGCCTGTATATATGTTGAGCAAATAACAACAAAAAAATGTATGTATATTGAATTTTACTATCCATGATTGTATACAGTGGCCATCTTGTAGTGCACTCAATTTCACCTGTTACTTCACGACATGTTTCGGCAACATAGTGCCATCTTCAGGTGCCCTAATTATGCTAATCTATTGCACTGCTTGCCATTATATGTCTTTATATTATTATTTAAAAAGTGTGTAATCGTCAACTATAATCAATTTACACACACTAAAACTTGTTAAGATTATTCACCTTATGTGTCATAATTAAAACTTGCGTGTGGTTCTTCCACGACCCCCATAGTAGAAGAACCACACGCAAGTTTTAATTAAGACACATACGACCCCCATAGTAGAAGAACCACACGCAAGTTTTAATTAAGACACATAAGATGAATAATCTTAACAAGTTTTAGTGTGTGTGTAAATTTATTAGAGTTGACAAATACACACTTTTTAAATAATTTTATAAAGACATATAATGGCAAGCAATGCAATAGATTAGCGTAATTAGGGCACCTGAAGATGGCACTATGTTGCCGAAACATGTCGTGAAGTAACAGGTGAAATTGAGTGCACTACAAGACGGCCACTGTATACAATCATGGATGAAAATCAGTGTAACAGGACACTAAAATACAACATTATGAATTTTACTATATTTAAAAATATTTAGGATTGGGCATATGCTTCTACTAGAGGTGTCTATACAAGCTTCCATTAGTGGCGTTTAAATGCCTGAACGCACAAATCGGGGTACACTGTTTATGATGACCATGCTCATCAGTGTACTGACTAACGGACTTTGGACATTACAGGTTAAAATGCAGATAACACGTATTACAATGGGATAGTCTTCTTTTCAAAAAAATTAAGGGGCACTATTTACTACGTAGTCTAATATATCAAACTAAACCTTCCATAAAGAAACACAAACCGAAAAATAATCACCTGCCACAGTACAGGGCAATTTTTGTTCTATATAACATAACTTAACACAAGGCTTCACATACGTGGAGACTTACAGCCTGATAGGTGAAAGCCAGTGCTTCATGGGGAATCAGTGTGAAGTCAATAATCCAGTCATTCTATATGGTAAGCATGTTTAACGGACACCTTATGACACTCAGATGTGGGAAAATTAAAATGAATGAAACATACACTATGATTGGCAAAATTTACAATTATAAACAGGGCATACTTATTTTAGTACTACTCAGCTGGATCTTTCGGCACTCCGAATTATAAAGCTTATATACCTTTCCCTTCACCATCGCCCTTTCCGTCTTCTCCATCCAAATCTTCTTCTTCTTCTTCTTCTTCATCATCATCGTCATCATCTTCATCCTCTTCCTTTTTTACTTCTTTCACCTTCGATATTTTCTTCTTTGGAGGTTCCTTTTCCTCATTTTCAAAGGTTTCTTTTTCATCTCCATCGTCATCGTCAATTTTATCTTCATCCTTCACACCCTCCTCCACCTATATAAATTAATATGCATTTACTATTTTTATACACCACACAATCAACACCAACTACGCCATCAACAAATCAGCAAATCGCCAATTTCCCGGCTATATAAATGCAAAATATTTAAATTATGATATCAATTAATCTCAAAGAGTACTTATGATTCATTTCACAATGTACAGGAACATACAGTAAAGCTCTTATACATACTACGCGGTTCGAAGTTACAGGACGCCTCATCTTCCACTACACACAACCCTCCAGGCAAGTACGCGTTCCCGCGTTTTCAAACATCAACAACTATGTCCCCGCCTACGCCATCTTGGTCCACATCAACCCCATTCCAACATGGAAAAACTAATACGCAACTTTTCATATTCACATCCGTACACGCTTTCGCAGTCTACGTACACCACATATTTCAGATTTAATATTGCAATAATTGCTCAAATGAAAACATACCTTCGGCTCCTCAGACTTTGTACTATCTTTATCGGTAGACATCTTAACGCTCACTCCTTTGCAATATGGCGGGCATCTGCTGGCGCTACAAGGAGAACCAATGGAATTAAAGAAACTTCTTCCCGCTGTATACCAGCATTGGTGGGCTATATTTGAACCTCAAAAATATACTTTATTTTGGTTATAGTGTTGTAATTTTTAACGTGAATAATATTATTTTTAAATTATTTTCTGCATTCAATATTTAATTGTACATAATTCTAACAATTTGTATGATCCACGGAACACCATCGACATTACGTATAGACCCGTATAGACCAAGAATTCAATATGCTGATGACCACGGATTGCGAAGTAGGCTCGGATCAGGTGATGAATTCGTAGTAACTACGGAAAAATTATGACCAAATTGTCTTTCGTGAAAATCAGTAGTTGTAGTTTCGTCATAAATTAAATATCCCACTTCAATTCTCAGGGCAAATTCTTGCTGCGTTCCACTCTTGTTATCGATATTTCCTCACAGATTGTTTTGTATGCTTCCTACATATAATGACTCGCAATCCAATTCCATGGTTTCCATCACGTAGTCAGTGTCTTGGGGAGTTGGGAGGAGGTGATAAGGAACGGATTGATCGGGCTCAGGATGGGGACCAATGGATGGCTCTTGTGAACATGGTAATGAACCTTCAGGCTCCACAAATTGTTGGGAAATTCTTATGTAGCTGCGCGACTGGAGGCGTCTCAAGAAGGGCTCAGCTCCATGGAATTAGTCAGTGTCACGGGTTTTCAACAAACGCTGGTGCGAGCTACGAAGGACCAAGCCCACACTGTTTAACGCTTCACACGATAATTTTCTGTCGTCTTCACACTGGTGATGTTGGTGATAACGGTGATAACTACCGATAACTACGGTATGAACCTTGGGTGCAACTGGGGTGGGAAGAAGCGAAACATGCGCCATCTTCATTGACCTCTGCTGCCACCTATTTATAGCGTTCACGCTGGTCGCACATCGCACAATAGAGCTATGAAGGAAGCCGTCTTCTGTGACGTGGCGGTGTGCAGAAATTGTGTTTACCGACGTTTCGGAGGAACGTATCGCCACCATCTTCTGTGTAGAAGACAAGAAGAAATCCGCGAGCTGGTTTGCTGGTTAGCAATTTCAACACGAAAATGGCTAGGATCAGGTACTAACACCTCAACTGTATCTATTTCTATCTGCCTATCATCACTGAACATATGTACGAGTACATTCAGTAACTGAGAGAAGTAGTTCTTCCACATATTCAAAATATTGTAGGAATCTGCAAGCAGATCACCATTCTCATCCTTCACTAAGTTACTTCTAGGTTGTTAACACCTCTATATTTATCCTTCTATACAGATCTCTTAAAGTTCTTATTCTTACTGTTCATTGGAAGCTCATCAATTTTGTCTTTCACATATTCCCTCTTTTTATTCCTGAAATGCCTGCTGGTTTCACATCTTATATAGTTGAGATTATTCACATTTATTTTGCTTGGATCCTGCAACCACTGCAGTTGGCTTGTTTTCTTTGGTCTAATGATTTTGAGCATCCTTCATCAAACCATGGCTTATGCTTGTTCAGTTCATAATAACCTAGACTCTCCTTGGCAGAAATTCTCATTCCCAATTGTTGGTCTGAAAATGTCTTCCCTACCTACTATGGCATTGAAATCTCTTAACAAAATTTTCATATGGTATTTCAGGAATTTATCAGATACATTTTCTAGTTCTTTATAGATGAACCCCTTCCTTGGTGTCTTCACCTTATCGTGGTGAGGGGGTTTGAGTATGCCAAGGACCCTGAGAGCTATACCAGCGGTAGCGTAGCTACTGGCAGGGCCTCCCTTGCTGGACAGGTCAAAGGGTAGGCATCAGACGAAGAGAGACACCAAAAACTNCTGTCCTTTATGTCATCAGTTTTATCTTCTGTTGGGGGGTGAACATTCAGAATGATGATATCACACCAAAACAGGGTGCTGAGGAACATATTTGGACCAAAGAGAGATGGAATGACGGGAGGTTGGAGAAAACTGCATAATGAGGAGCTTCATAACTTGTACTCTTCTCCAAGTATAATTAGAATGATCAAGTCAAGTAGGATGAGGTGGGCAAGGCATGTAGCACGAATGGGGGAGAAGAGAAATGCATGTAGGATATTGGTTGGAAAGCCAGATGGAAAGAAACCGCTGGGAAGACAAAGGTGTAGGTGGGTGGACAATATTAAAATGGATCTTAGAGAGATATGATAGGATGGTATGGATTGGATTGATCTGGCTCAGGATAGGGACCAGTGGACAGCTCTTGTGAACACGGTTATAAACCTTCGGGTTCCATAAAATGCTGGGAAGCTCTTGAGTAGCTGCAAAATTGATGGCTTCTCAAGAAGGACTCGGCTCCATGAGTGGGTGAGTGTGACAATTGAAGAAAAACTACTGATTACTCCGAGGTAAGGAAAGTTTATCTTTTTATTGATATATAAATTCTGCAGACCTCTAAGCAAATACAGTAGCACTGCTAGACGTTTTTTTCTTTACACTTTTTAGTATAATCAAAATTATGATGATGATGGAAGGCAGAGATTGTCGAGGGCACAGCACCTGTGAAAGCAGCTGGCTGAATACTCCTTAATACCAGCAGGAGGAATTCCCTCTCAGTGGATTTATATTAATTGAATTCAGCTGATTGTAAAGGATTAGAACTAACCCAACTGCTGGGGGCAGACCGGCTCTGGGGTTTATCCAACCTCCTATCCAATTAATACGGGGGGCTCTTCCCGCGGCTTGAAGCTGACCACTCACCTCCAACTAATATCGAGGTCAAGTAAATGTGGATATATATATCCACTCTCCTATACGCCTTCATGGCGTAGTGCGTAATTTGGTACGAAAAGGGAGGACATGGTGGTGTGGAACGTTAGTGAGTGAGTAGTAAACTTTCGTACCAACGGAGCTATCGGCAGCGGCTGCAGCAATAACCTGAACGGTTCTGAACGAGGAAAAGAGATCGCAGCGTAATGCATTTGTGGCGTCACGGCGGTTACGTTTCCGGGAAATAATACCCATGTACGTATGTGCCATGTGTTGTACTTTATTGTGTACGGTGTAAATTAACAAATCTGATATTTACGCTCTGTACAGTTGGGAATTGGGATTATTTCATTGGATTTGTTAGGTTTGTAATATTTCTGCCGGAGTGAGAGAGATGTAATTGTCTGGAAATAAAATATAACCTTCATAGTAGCGTAGGTTAAAGTAAGACTTATTTGCATGTATGTTTTTCTTTTCCATCAGGTGAAAAACTATTAAATCATCATGCCACTGTCTTGTCGATTCTACAAACAGAAATATCCCGAAGTTGAAGATGTGGTTATGGTAAATGTACGGAGTATAGCAGAAATGGGAGCATATGTTCATTTATTAGAATATAACAATATAGAAGGCATGATTCTTCTCTCCGAACTCTCGCGTCGACGAATTCGGTCAATAAATAAACTTATTAGAGTGGGGAAAACGGAACCAGTGGTTGTAATTAGAGTGGATAAAGAAAAAGGTACTGTATGTGGCATGAAAATGCCGTTGTCTTACATTATATTGGGTATGGAAGGGATGTATTGGTACCAAATCCATACTTCTGTTGTTTATATAGTGTCTGTTTTTTATTTTACCAGGTTACATTGATTTAAGCAAACGCAGAGTGTCTGTAGAGGATGTTGAGAAATGTACAGAGAGATTTGCCAAGGCAAAGGCTGTTAACTCTATCCTTCGCCATGTGGCTGAACTTTTAAATTATGAGTCAGATGATCAGCTTGAAGAACTTTATCAAAAAACTGCATGGCATTTTGAGGAGAAGTACAAGAAGAAGGCATCTGCTTATGATTTTTTTAAGCAGGCTGTTTTGTAAGAATAGTGTTTGTTATATATTTTATTTATTTATAGAGAGTTATAAATTTATTTATACAGAAATATAATAAGTACTATAAAAGTCTCTGCTTATATCTATACAGCTATGGGAGCTGAACTGTTAGAAATATGGATGGCACTTTCACAGTTGCGAAAGCTGTGGAAGTTTACTTGCCAAGTGCTATATTCTTGTACTGTCTGTGAGCTTCTTGTTTGTGTCAGTGTTTTTTAGCAACTGCGGACATCTGAGAAGAAAAAGCAAAATTAATATTGTTCTCTGATTCCTACCAGGGACCCTTCAATTCTTGCAGAATGTGGTTTGGATGAGGAAACAAAGGAAGTTTTGTTGAACAACATTAAACGCAAGCTGACTTCACAGGCTGTAAAAATACGAGCAGATATTGAAGTAGCATGTTATGGATATGAGGGCATTGATGCTGTGAAAACTGCTCTTAGAGCAGGCTTGGCGTGCTCAACTGAAGAACTACCAATCAAGATCAACCTCATAGCTCCACCACTTTATGGTAATATTTTATGGAAAACATTACTTATTCAGCCTCATGTTTGGCTTTAGATTTACTCCGGATCCCCTTTACATACCATAATGATCGAAAACTCAAAACAGACCGATCATATATCATGCAGCTAAACCATTCTACATGAATTCTAGTTCACCCATTTTGATTGAAGTTTGTTGTACTGTAGTCAGTCATGCTGACAGCTGTCAACAGTGCAGATGCACTGCTGCATGGAATTATATTGATGAAGCTGGTCAGCAGTAGAGGTATGAACTGTCTAGAGGCTTGAATTATCCCTTCTGTTCATTTTGTAAACATGCAATATATCAGTGTTTTTAGTTAAAGGTTACAGAGCTTAATGACACGCAATTTATTGTGTACCCATTTTTTAATTTCAGGCCATTGTTTTAGGAGTGTTGTAGGGTTAAATTTTGAGTTATATGTAAAGTAGGTGGTATTATTATTATTATTATTATTGGAGGGGGTGGGTTTCCCCATGCACTGCAACCAGTGGTCTATTGTACGTTCCCCTGTGATATTCTACCAGTCTCTATACCCTACCGATACTGGTGCGTGCCATCAGTCCCGACTCAGCCAGCGAGTTCGGCCTCTACTGGCTCAGCGGTATCTAGATGCTTCCCCCATCTACCAGAGGCGCTAGAGACTATTGTTGGGCGGGAAATGTCCTTAATAATTTGGCTCAGAGGCCTCCTTGAGGTATGAGGTTCTTTTACGTGCCGTAAAGCTACGACATGGGACCCACGGCTTAAAGTCCCTCCTGGAGGACTTGTTCCCTGAAATTTTCCGCCCTTAAAAATTCCACGACCTCCGCTGGGTTTGAACCCGCGTACCTTGAGTCATGAGGTGGGAACGTTACCCGTAGATTACGGAGGCCGCTTAAGTAGGTGTTAAATGTGTCAAGATAAAATTTCACTAACAGTTCTAGTTCAGATTCCTCTTTGATGAATTTCAAAATCTGTTAAGATGGTTTGGTAAATAAACCCTGCAGATGAACAGGTGACCCTATTTTTCATTCTCTGTATGCATTCCTTTTGTAGAATAATTGAAGCTGACTAAAAGGTTTTAATAATTCTTTTTCAGTTATGACCACTTCCACACCTGAGAAACAAGATGGCTTGAAAGCACTGACCCAAGCTATTAACAAGATTGAAGATATCATTACTTCTATGGGAGGAGTTTTTGCCATTCAGATGGCTGTAAGTAGAACTTAGATCAGTTTGGTTGGAGGGAACTCCCACCCCACATTATGTCTGCTAATGCCGGATATTGTGGGCATGTGGTAGCATAGTTGGTTGAGGCACTATGTTATAAGCTGGGAGGTCACGAGTTAGATTCCTAATGAAGTGATTGGATTTTTCAATTGACCTACTCCTTCCAGCCGCACTATGGTCCTGGGGTTGACTCAGCCTCTAACAGAAATATAAGTACCAGGAATCTTCCTGGGGGTAAAGGGTGGCCGGCACGTAAGGCTGACAGCCTCACTGCCATCTGTGGTCTGCTTTTACCGGTTCTCACGGTCTCTTCGCTTGCAGATTTCTTATATTTTTTCTTCTACCCTGAAGATGGAGGCGATATGTTCCTCCGAAACGTCGGTTAACACCACATATACACGGTGCCAAATCCCAGAAGACTGCTTTCTTAATACTGTTCTGTGGAGGGATGACTTCATAATTAGATGTACCAATGAATACACTTTTTAGTGACCATTTGAAACAGTTTTATTCTGATTGGCTCTTGTTATGGGATTGTTCTGACACCATGGCGACAGTAAAGAAGCCAGTAATCAAGACCAAGGCAACTGAACTCTCCAGAAGCGATTGTCACAGGATTCAAAAAGTGTTGTATACCTGAAGAGGCTGGGATTGTTGGCAGTGAACATGAGTATGAGACAAGATGCAAATTGTGAAGGCATTGGAGCTGACACAGGCAATAGGAATGGCGAATAGAGACTGGTGTAGGTGAATAAAGGCTAGTGACTTCGGGGAGGAACCTTACTCAATAATGTTAAAGTATAACATGTTACTTTAAATTAATATTCTTTTGGATGTTCGTAGTAAGATTATGAATTAATTCATAATATTTTTTCTGTGCAGACATGTTTCCTAGTGCAGGGTCATCCTGCATTCAGGTCAGTATGGTAGTACACTTTAGTGCAATGTGAAGAAGTGCCTAGTGTTATAAATTATTACAGAGTAAAGAACTGTTTGTCTCTTGTTGTCATTTGATTGTCAAATTTTTCCAAATTCTTGTCTCAAACTGTCATTCTTGCACCTGCCTACTGATAATTCCACCTTGAGACGTAAGGACTAAATAACGAAGTCGTGTTTTGGAGCAAATGAAAAGCAGCAGCACCAGTTGAAGATGCATATTTGAGAACTAAAAGATTAGTGTGAAAATTACTTCTAACAACACTTTTGAGTTTTAACAGATTATTTTCATCAGTTTTTTTTGGCAGTTGACAAAGTTTCTGTGGTGTTGAATGCATTCTGGATAACAGAACAGATTTTCTTAATACCATGAATCACCTACGAGTGTCAGTGCACATAATATATGTCACAAGCGTGAAATTCATATGTTGAATACTAAATTGAGGAAAATCTTGAGGTAATTTAATAGTGAGATTATTGACTTGGGATCAATGAAATTGAATGTTACATGAGGACCTTAAATCTAGGAACATTTAAGTGTAGGTTCCACTATATTGACAATTATAATTTTTTTAACAGAAAATTTGCTCCATAAGTTCATATGGGTCAGTTCAAGCTGCAGTAACAAAAATTGATGATGTGCAGGCTCCCAGCTGATTATGTTTTAATATGTTTATACATTTTTATAGCCTAAAGTTGTGACAGCAACTGATGAGGCAGAACTTGCAAGACAGATGGAGAAGGCTGAACAAGAAAATGCAGAAGTAGCAGGCGATGACGATGAGGAAGAAATTGAAGGCCAGGTGTTCAGTGCAGGAGAAGAGGGTGAAAATGGTGATGAGGGTGGGGCTGGTTCTGGGGAAGAAGATTGAAGAGATGAAGGCTACACTTGCAGTGAGAATTCTGCTAACATTTCATTCAAATACTGCTTCATATTTATCATCATTGCAGAACAGTGACTTGAATCTGTATGGAATTGTTGCAGAGAAAAAGGAATTAGCATTAAATTGTACAGAACCCTTACACATTTATTCTCAGTTTTATGGTAGGATATGACACACCAAGCAATTGCATAAAGCTGATGAGGTGTGCATTCAAAGGGCTGATGAACTGAAGCAGCATTCTCTCTATTATAGGCCACATACATCTCATGCAGAATGATGATTTTAGCTGGATGAGCTAAATAATAATATTCATGGAGCATGTTTCTTATATGTGTATTACAAGATATAGTAAACTCTTAATCTGGCATGCAAGGGGAATGGGGTGTGATGGTTACATGAGTATGTCATTGTGAAACTCAGTGTTGCTTTTCACTTAATTCTTGCTTGGGACTCTTCCTCTGCAACATAATAGATTGGTGAAAGATGTCTAATAAATATACTTCAACACCATCACAGATTCACCTCTACTCTAATGGCATCTCTGTGAGGGAAGATAACAGGTAGTGCCACCAGTGGCAGCTGGGAAATCTACCACATGGCTGGTGAACACATGTGCATCACAAATTTGTTTTTGGATAGCTTTCTAAAATTAGTAACTTTCCTTTGAAATTTGTTGTTGGTTGGATGAGAATTCCAGATGCTTGAACTTCAGAATTCCAAGAATTTACTATATATTCTGGTCCATCCAATTGTATAATGTAATTAAAAAATTTGAAAGATATTCTTGGCATTGCCGTTCATGTCATTCATTTCTGTGAGTATAACATATTGGAGGATTTCTTTCAGTTTCAACATTTAAATAAACAGTTTTTGTAAATAATGTTTTTTTCTAAATCCTCATTCAGAAAGTTCACAGTGTGAAGGGAATTTGTGTCATTGTCTTGCCATCAGTGTGTCAATGGGCACTTAATCTGATAAGTACTGTACTCCATTTCTCATGTAATTAGCGAAGTTATTTGTTGTGGGCTTGCATGGCATGATGGAACGGGTGTCCAAGCTTGCACCCAAGGTAAAAGAAAGAGAACTGCATACACCATAAATCTACAAGTAATGAATGGTTATCAGCTATGCCAAGAACTTGAACCAAATTCCCCTGTTTAAGTCTTCTGAAGTTACATAGCTTTATAATTAGCCTGCAACTCAAAGATACCCAGATTGGAAAGGATTTGAGAATTTATAAGATCCTGACAGAAAAGCAGACTTAGTTTTCAATCATAGGTTTTGTCAATTTTGTCTGTTATTGAAAAAACTCTCCTCACTTTTTTAAGAAACTAATCGAGTGTCAGATTCTGAAAGAATTCCAGCATGCGTGAGGAACTGTCTTAAGCAAGGGGTTTAACTTCACTGTCGTTCCAAAATATGTCCTAGCTGGGTGCTGCAACATTAAAAAGGCTCATATGTTCCATCTGTGTTAGGTAAAGAATCAAAACTGTGAAATGTAATATGCAAAATTTAGAGTAATTTCTTAATTTTTATACCAGCTGTGCATTTCATTACTGTAGCATGCATGCATGGTACTCTGGTTGGTTGAATACTGCATTTTTTTTAGTTGTACAACCATTACCTCCAAGCTAAAATCTGGTTGCCCTGCAGTACTGTGGGATTTTAAACCCATAATCCTGGATAAGACTGTCTCTGTGGTCTAGTGGTTAGAGCTCCTGGCTACAGATCCAGAGGTCTGGGTTCGATTCCTGGCGCTACCAGATTTTCTCAGAAGTAGTGGGGATTTGTTGCGCTGACCACGTGACACCCTCTCTATCTGCTAAAGTCGACACTAACTTCTCTGACAAGAGATGGTCACTCGATCAGTATAGTTCGCTTGCAGACTAAAACCACCGAGCTTGTTTTTTGTTTTGTACTCCTGGACAATAAACTGTTACTCCAAAGTTAAAATCTGGCCACTGGCCCCATAGTACTGGAAGATTTAAAATCTCCTATTACTGAACACTAAAAATTAAGAAAATATTCTTCATTTAAGATTATACGAGCTGACAAGGGGAATGCAAAAATGGTAATTGATACAGAGCAGTATCTTCTTATCTATCCTTTCGTGGATGTGCCATCTTCATAATGGACTTGTGTCTTCCAATAGGACTCTTCCCAGTGGTGATCAGTGTAACACATTTTTCAGTAATATTTCCTCCTTCATTTGTTAAAATATGGTCATGCCATCTTATCACACTTATTTTCTACATTTCTTATCACTGATGACATAACATCCATTTCATCTCATTATGATTATTCCTCACTCTGTTTTCCCCTGTCAGCTGAAGAGCAATATAATAAAAAAATATCAAGAACTTATCGCTTCTGGTAACTACAGCAGACCCAACAAGTATAAAAAAGGAACAGTCAGAAGGAAGGTAGAAAATATGCTGAAGAAATATGAGGACATGACAGAGATGGAGCCATTTATTTCACTTCAGCACACTGTCACATTTATATGGACTGCCAGAGCTACAAAGAACACAACACTTTTAAATGGTATGACAGTCCAGCAGAGTGACATGTTGATGAGCCTTCACACTTTATACAGTACACTGTAGATAGTCCAGAGTATTTTTGAGAGAGATGACTGAAAACTTTTCTGAATGATCTTTTCTCAGTACGGATAAAATAATGGAACTTGTAGATCTGTGCTTACAGATGTTTGACTTCAAAATGTAAGATGAGTTCTATCAGAAAACCAGAGATGTGTTTGTGTAGCAAACCTGGTTGGTTCCAACCAGTCACCTTAATGCAGAGGAACATTAATGATGTGCGACCAGATCCTGCACTTTTCCCTCACATTTAGCTTTTCCTTATTTAACTACCACTTTTTAGCTTTACCTTGCTATTTTCAAAACTCACAACCCATTTAGTTTCATAACCAGACAAAGTGATAAAACACTATCATACCTCCATTACTCTTGTCCACCTTGCTATGCACCATATGTAAGATTCAATCTGACTGGAAATGGGTAACAGAGTTGCCTTTTGGTTTAAGTACCATATATATTGGGGTATAGATGGCTACAGAGTTACCTTTTTGTTTAACTACCATAGATGACTCTTTAAGCCAAAAGTAGGGCCATCTTAAATCCTTAAATGCTAGTGAGGTTTAGCAAATGCTTTGCATCACTTAACCCCAATTTAAATTCCATGTCTGACTTACATAATTAACATAGACATTATAATAAAATGTGGTGGGATAGCATGACCAGAAGTACTATAACTGCAAATCAAAATGAAAACACCACCCATCACTTGCAACACCTGTAGTGTAAACAAACATCAGAGGAAAGTGCAAGTCCAGACAACTACTTCTATGGCTGTTAATAGTATAAGTAATGTTCTGTGATTGTCACATGTCTGTCTCAGGTCATCATTCTTGCATATGTTATAATCTGTAAAGGTTAATGGTATTCTGTAATACCCAGACCCATTCATGGCTCAACATGCTGTGAGAAGGAAATATGAAGCTTGTATGAAGTTGAAAGTAGTTGCATTTGCCAAGTTATCTAGCAGCTATGCTGCTGCCTGGAATTTGATGTTATAGAAGACCAGAGGAAAAATTAGAGTATGTCCAAGAATAAATGTATCAATAAAAGAAGCACCAGGCAATGGCCAAATCTTCAGAAAAATGTGGCAGAGACAGTCACTGATAATCATCAGTCTGGGAAGTTTGTAACAAGAAATATGTGTTTTTGCACAAGTGGGATAAATCAAACCAAGGTTCAGGCAAAGGATTCAAGGCACCTGCATTATGGCACACACTTTATGGAAAAGAATGATCTGGTATTGAGGCAGAAGACAACTGTGCAGATATAACCAGTAAATCTCAACTGCAAAGTAACTGCCATCCATAGGTCTGTAATACAACAGGAGAAGAAACAGTTACCTATTAAGAAGATACAGAATATGGATAAAACACCAGTGAATTTTTATATGATTGGTAATCAGATTATAGAAATAAAACATGCAAAATTGTTTTAGTAAAAATGACAGAACATCAGAAAACAAGTTACAGTGGTACTAACATGGTATGTGGGGGGGGAGAATCCAACCCAGTTGTCATATTAAAGCGAGAGACAAAGCTTCCTGTTGGAGTTTCTGGATACATACATGAAATAGGGCGGGAGGATGAAGAAGGAATTAAGTTGTGGCTTCATAATGTATGGTGTAGGTGTGCCAGTGGCTTGAGAAAACAATGTCGCCTACTGGTATGAGATATGCTTAAGCACATGTAGCTGAGAGCACAAATGCCTAGCAAGAAAGAATACTGACATGATAGTTATTCCCGAAGACTTAACATTAGATGTAAGTCTTAATAAGCCTTTTAAGGACTATGTTCATGCACTGTGCAACAAGTGGATGCTGATTAGAGAAAGTCATTCTAAAAGGCAGGAATACTTATGCTACCTGACTGCACATATTATGTGATCTTATTATCAAAGCATGGAATGATATAAATGTAAAAACTTGTCAGGTCTACCAAAAAGAGTGGTATATCAATTTCAGTGGATGTTATAGGGGGTGGTGTTTTCTGGTGAGATGAGGGGACGCCAAAGTTAAAGCTGCATCATCTGATTCAAGTTTTACGCGTATGATGATTCACTTACACTTAATTATTAAGTTTTAATTTTGGATACTGATGATGAGAATTTTGCAGAACTTGCATGAATTTTAGTGGTGTGCATGTGCTGTGGACACCCAGCCTCCTTGGTTCTCTGTCAACCACACACACCTATCCCTTCTGTACCAGTGTTCTTATATCTACAGAACTGGCCCTTTTCAGGGGCACAACCTAATTAGTCTTCTTTTGTCTCCTGTGGTCTCACCCCATTATGCAGAGCGAGTAAATGGGAACTAATGGGTTGGCTTGCAAGTTCCCTCCTGTTTTTATACAATCCTGTTTTCCACAAGTGACTTGCTATGCTTCATGCTAGTTTCTTGCTTGGCTTACTCTGCAAGTCTGAAGATGAAGGTGATGTTTATTTCTGAAATGTTAGTTGACTTTCACTGGACAACATGGCGTTATATCCCAGAAGATAGAAGGCTCTGTAGTCAGGGCTGTAAGAACGTCATATGCTACGAGGATTGTGACTTTCTTGTCCTCCAGCATTGCAGTATTCCAAACAATAATTTGTGTAAGTTACCTGAATGTTTTAGACAACAAACCATTAACAGCATTGCACTGGTCTCATCCTTTTAGTACCAATATACTGAGAGAAATCTTTTTTTAAACATAGTTTTCAGCCTATGCCAAAGGAGTTTTCATCCTGAGAGTCTGAAATTTTATGAACAGTGTTTGGCATTTTGCCCATGCCAGAATATTGTGTGGTACATGGCCCAACTTGCGTGTCACATGCCATGCTCAGGTGCATGCAAACTTTCAGACATGAATGGTGTAGTTTTGTTGTTTTCTGTAACAATATATTAAAAAGTGAACTGTGTGATACTGTCTGTAGAACACCCTATGATATTTGCTTGCGTCCCCTATGTTTATATTACCATGCCAAGATAACATAGAGGACATGGAGATAAAAGTTCCAGCCTGTGGGGCTCTTAATGTGTAGTCTTGTCATTACTCCAATGACAACCCACTTCTTCGGAACAGTTTGTTGGTCCTGAAAAGGACCGTGGTTGCTGAGATGTTTGATCGGAGAGGTAGCACGGCGCGTGCCGGTAGGGAGAGAGGCTAGTTGCGGTGAGTGGACTGGCCGCAGTGCGGCCGTGGCTGGAGGTTGCTTGGTTGCCGTGCGGCAAGTGATGGAGCTTGCTCGATCGCAGCGCGGCGGTTGCTGGTGAAAGGCTAGTCGTTGAGCGCGGTCGTAGGAGCGATGAGGCAGTGGCTACGCCAGATGCCCAGTGGCTCGGACAGTGACACGACCACCGGCGAGTCCAGGCGAGGTGCCCCAGTGAGTCGGGTGTGCAAGCGCTGGAGGGCCGAGGCAGTCATGCCTGGCGCAGCCTGCCGATGCCTCCGAAGACCGAGCGCTGGCGACGAAGCCTGCTGGCTGATGTTGCTTGGTGTGGCTAGCTCATAGGCTGATGATGAACTGCATACTTGGCGTTGGAGCTGCCCCTTTTTATACACTGCTCGGTGGGGCGGAGCGAAACTTGAAATTGAGGAGGAAGAATTGATTGGCTAGCGCGCGTAATGACATAGATGCTGGCTAGCAGGAGGCGCCGTATAAATATGAACGTTTGAAGCAATCTGATTGGTTAGCGCGCGTGATGGTGAAAAGTGATGTGAAGAGCGAGCATTGCAGAAATGCGTGATAATGTGGGATGTTCCCACAAGCCATTCTAGATCTTGAACCAGCTGGAAGTGAGTAGTCAGTTTCTCACTCTGGTTGATTTACTCTTCAGGAGAGAGCTACTGGATAGGCTGGTCAGGGCTCAGAGTTGGTCCAGACTTCATGGCCAAAAAAAAAAAATTCCCTACTTCCTACTGAGAAGCCTGGAGCCAGTATCTTCACTCATTCAATTATCCTGTTTCATCTTTTTGCATAAGTAAAAGCAACTTATCACAACCTTTATGGTATGCATCCTGTTGTGTGTCATGTGAAAGATATATACTGGGATAGTCTATACAACAATAATTCTGAAAGAGACAAAATAGCCACCATTGTGTCAACATTTGTTTTTATTAGCTGTTGGTGGTAATGCTACATGTTTCGACCCTTTTCTTGGGTCATCTTCAGGTGTACAAGAATACTGGTACTAGTTCATGAATTGCATCACTGATCAATATGAATTCATATTGTGTTTTTGTGAATTTTTATGCTAACAGATATACATTAATTTAAATATGGTTCAGGTATAGTTTAAAACTTGACATTAAAGGGATAAAAATTAGAATTAAAATGGCGATTAAGGTATTTACCACCAACAGCCAATAAAGACAAATGGTGAGACAGTAGTGTCTATTTTGTCTCTTTCAGAATTGTGTAGACTGTCCCATTATATATCTTTTGCAACTTTTCACAAGCAACACTGGCAAACGAACAATACTTATTTCTCTTTTTGCAAGATTTGTTTATATATCAAGCTGACACAGAATACACATTTTCTATAAAGTAGGAAATATTAGAGCGACTATGCACCTGTTAAGGCATTATCTCTTACATTCTTTCATACTGTTGATTATAATTATTGCTGTATAACAAAAAATGTTATTTACAATGATAAATTACTAACATTAGCACCTAGTTCTTTGTACCATTAAAACAATACATGTCTCCATATCTACCTCAGAAATCTTCCAAATTCTTCAGGCAAGAGCTATGAAGTTTGGTGAGAAATGGTAAATATTGAAAGTTTTTATCAACTTCCTATATGGCCAGAGGTAACAAGCATTATGACTGGTGAGCCCTAGAGCCAGTCTGGATGATGTGGCAAGGAGAATAATCTTACCCTACCAGGACTAGAACTCCGACCCCTTGGCCGTCCAGCCCATAGCCAATTGCAATACTGACTGCACTATCCTGGCTCCTAGCTGTGTTGAGATGCACATCAAAAACAGCTATGCACATATTCAAAGGCTATAATTTCAATTCATGTGATCAGCCCATTCTTATGAAGATTAAATACCACATTACGTAAGACTGATGTTAATCTCTGTCTCAAGCATGGACCTTGAGTAAGTCAGACGGAAAAGCCTTTATATATTTTATATGAGAATTCTGAGTATTATTTATGGGTCTGTTCACAGCTGAAAGGGGCCAAGTAGGTACAATTATGAATTGTACAACCTCTATGACAAACCTGGAATCTCTAAAATTATTAAAATTCATAGGCTTAAATTGGACGGTCATATTATAAAAATTGAAGACATTTGCTAGCAAAACAAGTATTCACGTGATATCATAAGATAGGAGGGGGATCAGGAAACTAATATTATAACGGATACAGAATGTGGATTAAAACTTTTTGAGAAAATTGAGGTTCATGGTGGGCTGTAACATTAGTGAAGATGAAACTACTACATCTCAATACTTCAGCATTACCTGACTATCAGTACATACCCATCAATTTCGTCTCCATTCGTCATTTGCTTTTAAGGATCAGAAACACTACTGCAAAAGGTAATTTCATTTTGATATCCTAAGAATAAATCTCATTAAAATATGAGTCTGCAGACTTAGGTGGTTGAAGTGAACTGATAAAAATTTGAAGTCACAGACCCAGAATTTCTCTAAATACATGTATAGTTTCAGAAAACACAGATTCGGTTCCATTCAGCTAGAAGTTGATGATACACACCTAGTCCAGCCCAAAGCAGCTGCTGATGCTTTTGCTAAGCACTTTCAATCTGTTTATAATAACCAGAGCTCTAAGGACTTTCCCCATCTCTCACAATCTTCTGAATTGTTATCCCTTGCCCACATTTCCGCTACGGATGTCTGCATAGCTATCAAGAGACTAAAACTTTCCAAATCTGCTGGACTTGACGATATCCCTGGTTTTATCATAAAAGGTTGTTCAAGCATTTTTATTTAACTTGTGCCTGACACAGCAGTATTTTCCTGCTGCATGGAAGTAATCTGCTGTTGTACCAGTATTTAAAAGAGGTAATCATGCCGCTGTGAGCAACTACAGACCCATTTCTATTCTCAGGAATTTCTCTAAATTGTTTGAATTCATTATTCACGATCATGCCTCTCATTATACTAAATGTAGTCCCAATCAACAGGACTTCACCAGAACTAAATCTACACTTACCAATTTGGTAACGTTTCTCGACTTTTGACTCCTGTTGTCCACGGTCAGCTTCATATTGTTGAGGTCTATTTTGATCTTTCAAATGCTTTTGACCTCGTCCCACATAATATGCTTTTGCATAAATTTGCTAAAGGCAACAGATTTCTTCATGGTATATGACTGAATTTTAAAGTATCTTGTAATGGACTCTGTTGTACTGGTCATCAGAAAAATGTTTAACATGCTGTTTTGGAAGACCATAAAGTTCATAATTATTGTATCCTCTAAGCCACATAGGAAACTGAATCAGTTGTAACTAATATAGTGTAGAAGAATGACAAAAGAATCAAACTTAAACTGCACCCTGGTACAACAGAACTGCAATCTTCCACAAACAGCTGTCAGTGTTAGGTAATGTTTCTTGGCAACATTTATATGAAACATTTATATATGTATGTCTGAAAATCTCCAGTGACAGCTTAAGCATTTGCTCAACATTCCAGTTCTTCTTTATTTACTAAGTGTCATATGCTCCACATCTACAGCCATTCTTGAATCTGTGAGAAGTTAACACAAAAGGAACCACAAACAAAATAAGACCACATAAAATATACATTAACAACAAACAGGATAACTTGGAAAGAATGGTGTCTACTGTTATCAGTGTGATACATGATAAATTAATATTTAAATCAAATAAATGTTTGCTTCATATTTTGTCATTGACATTTCTTGAAAGTATAGTACTTTTGTTGTATCCCTAAGGTGTAATATAGTAAGAGTAAGCAACACAATGAACCATCATAGTTAAATAAGAAAAATTACCATTTATAATGGTGTTCATAAAATTTCAAGGGCAAAAAACCAGTAAGCACAATTACTGGTATTCAGCTGTATGGTGGTAAACAATATTGTAACGTGTTTACGTTACTGAAGACGCCGTTTGGATCGTTAACTGGTTTATTCAACAACCTACAAGTAATGGCTACAATTAATTATCACACAGATGCGGGGTTTCACACTTTATAACCCTAATCACATTAATCTGTTTACACTGTTTGCGGGGTTTCACGATTTATAACCCTATTCGCAAATCAATTCCCTCTGTCTTCAAGAGACTACATGTTTCACAGTACGGGAGCTATATAGGTGTTACTGTATCACACACTCCCAATCAATTCTCAGTTATCACAAACTGTCACTGATTATCACACACTTTCACTCGTAACTCGCCGCTGGCTAGATTCCAACTCTACTCACAGGCTGCTGCCTTGAGAACTGTTGATAACACACTCGCTCGTAGGCTTGCTTGGAACTAACTTGGAACTGAACTCGGCGATGGCCACATGACAACTCTCTCACGCTTACTGCTCAGCCGGCTTTTATTCTGTTCGCTGTTGCCTGTTGCCCACGTCAACAGCGTCATTACGTGCCACGTAACAGTGTCTGCGTATAGCCTAGCAACGCTGTTACCTCACGCTGTCTTAACGTCACCGCTGTTGACTCGCGTTGCATAGCTACCAGGACGCTGGGACTCGGCTAACTTCGGCTCTGCTCGGCTCGTCAGCTCCGGGGGGGGATCCAGCTAGCGCGACACATCACAGTATATAACAAAATAAGAGGGGCATGCTGGCAAACACAGTACTGTCATGGTAGAAGTGACTATAGACAGGGTTTAGATTGGTAATCAGATTTATTGGACTCATATATCATAGCCACAAGTAACTATTGTGCTATCACCAATTCACACACTCTGCAGTTCACTACAGCTGCACTAAGTCTTCTCTGTCTGCTGTCTTCACTCATTGTCTGGTAATAGCTTCCAATGACATAGCTTCCTCAGCTTTCATGGTGACATTCTTACTGGCTGGCAACTGTCTCACAAGTAACTCGGTGTTGCTACATGACTTGACAACAATGGGGGCTCCTCCACCTCCACCAGGGACAACGGTCACAACAGTCTCAGACTTGGACTGGTCTGTCTGCCTGCAGACTCTCTAGATTCATGAGTGACTTCTGTAGACTTCTCTCTAGACCCTCGACTCAGACTCTTGTCTTCATTCGCTAGATATAGCCTCCGCATGGACCTGACAAAGACACCGCTTTCCACAATTCCTCTCTTGTCAAGTGATCTCACTGCAGATGCAGATGTGACATGTTCCTTTGCTGAGTGTAAGCGTGACCATGGTCATGTGACCTGGTAGCCATGGGAATGTGCTTACTAAGCCATTGTCTTGCAGTGGCCATCGCTGCTGATTAAACTATTCTGGCTTTCTATGGACATGCCACAGTATTAAGCAATTTACAAGAGAAACAGTATACATACAAAAAGTTAACCTTTATGGGCAGCCAAGTCAGAAATAAAGCCAAAAACGATGGATATGACAGCAGTAACCTGATGGCTGGTGAGAGAGGAACAGGACAGATCAATGTACTTTTTGTCAACACACTCTAAAAAGCCAAAAGAAGTAACTATGTAGGTCATACTGAAAGTCATGAGCAACTTTTTTTTTGCATGCAACCTGGGAACATCAGACAAAAAAAGAGTATGGTGGTAGGTGGAACCAGCTGTTGTGTTAACCTTGACTGTTTTGTGACGTCAATAGCTTGCATCACGTGACCAGTATCACTCCTAACAAAAGGCCGACAATGATATGTCATTTTGCCAGCATGTTGTCATCAAATTTCTTGTGAAAGAGGAAATCCATGCTGCAGAAATTCGCCAGACTTCAGCGTGCTTATGGAAGTGTGTGCATGGGTGTGAGCAGTGTTCGAAGATGGGTGAAACATTTTAAAGATGGGAACACCAGCATCGAAGATGAGCCTCAGAGTGGTCGTCCTTGAACAGCCTCAATTGAACGAAACAAGGAAAGAGTGGATGAGATCATTCAAGATGACAGGCGCGTGACTGTGGACACAATAGCCCGAAAACTTGGAATAGGGCACAGTGCACTACAGAAGATGATTGAAAGCTTGGGTTATACGAAAGTTTGTGCTCGTTGGGTCTCGCGGTTATTGACTGAAGACCACAAAGGTCAGCGAAAAGCCATCACCTCAGAACTGCTGCAGAGATAATGACATGAAGGCGATGATTTTTTGCTTTGTATTGTGACAGGTGATGAAAGTTGGTTTCACCATTTCGAGCCTGAAACGAAATGGCAGAGTATGGAATGGCACCATTTGTATTCTCCATCAAAAAAGAAGGCAAAGACAGTGCCATCAGCTGTGAAGGTGATGGGCACAGTCTTCTGGAATGCAGAGGGGTTTATTCTGGCCAAATTCCTGGAACTTGGGCAAACCATCAATGCTGCTCGTTATGTCCAGACGCTGCACAAACAGGAATCCAGAAACTGACACATCCCGAATCGTACAGCTTATAGTAATGAACGGGAGCATTTCTATGACCTGAACCGCAAATCGAACCTTTGTTATCCAGTATGTAGACGTCTTCTTGACTGAGCTATCACTTTTACCCGTTTAGCAGGTTACAGGTATTTACTGCAATATAACCAAGGACCTCCCCATGCGTCACGAACAGAGTTACAGTAATTAGAAAATTAATGACACGGTAAGATGTACACTGAAATGTCCTATGAAGAGTAGTTTGCAACCATCCACTACTATGAATGGCACACAGAAAGCTACAATCTGACAGGGACTAGAGCTTCTACAGNTTTTGGGCTTGCTTCAAACTGAGTACTGCTGTCATCAGTACATGTCTTTTTTTAGATATTCTGTCCAGCACTGATCCTGTAGAATGTACACATAATTTTGTTATGATATTGTCTGTTGTTTTATATATACAGCACGGTACTGTCAGGATACTTCCTGTGAGACATCCCTGCAGAATGCTATACAGAAGTATTATATGAATAATTTTTGTTCAACATTACATCTCCTTTTTGAACACTATATTCTGGCATGTAGACCCATTGCTAGGCATGGCTGTGAAATAAGCAAATATACAACAGCTGTTGCTAAGTAACAGCTCTGCAAATATGTTTTATGTTTCCATGTACTGTCTGTCATAGTCATAGACTGTCACAGTTATTTGTAGTTACATTCTGTAAGTGTTAAGTAAATCCAATTATGAATCAAACACCATATAGTCACTAAAATCATGTGACAGCTGGTGTCAGATATGGGATTGGACTGATAGATTACTGGACTGAAGATTGCATTATGTAATTATATCGCTACACTATGAAGATGGAACAATTACTGGCATACCAGCTGGCTGAATTGAATGCCATATCAGAAAAGATGGACTCAAATCAAGAAGAAATGAAAGCCAACCAAGCCAAGATGGATGCCTGGCTAGAAGAAATGGCGTGGCAAAAAGAGACAATGGCCTGCCAAGAAGGGATGGAGGCCAGTCGAGAAAAGTTGGACGCCATAGCAGAGCATCAGGAAGACCCTAAAGAAGAAGCTGCAGTGGAAACTTGGAGCACTGAGGGACCAATATGGGGATCAGCATCAGCTGTAGGGCACCACCAACAGCCAAAGAAATGTACCCAGGGCGATGGTGGGTTCTGGAAGAAGTTGGCCGCTGCCCACAGGCATGACACACAGTGGAACTCCCATTTAATGCTCCTCAATGTAACCCCAAGTTTTATTGATCCCAAGTCAATAATCTCCATGTTAAATTTCCTCCATTTAAGATTTTTCTCAGTTTAGTGTTGAAATCCATTGCTCCCCAAAGAAACCGTAAATGGAAATTTCAGTGTATCTGTATCACTCACATATATTGTTTATTCTTGTTTCTGCCACCGTTTCCATACATAACCTTCAATATGTATGGCACAAAACACTGGAATACCTTATGTAGTGATGGACTGAAGTAAATTAATAAAGTAAGAGAAGAAGGAGAGATTTTAAATTATGGACTTGCATATCACACTGAAATAAAGCTGGAAGAAATTCACTAAAATCTTCTTGAGCAATAAGTTGTGCCATGGTTTAGCTAAAAACCAATATTCCAAAGCCTTGCTCTATCTCCAAAAAGTTGATTTTTAGTTCAACCATGATGCAGTTGACTATTCAATAGGATTTTTAGTTAATTTATTCACAGTGACAACTTTAGATCTTGCATGGGAGTAATTTATTTCCTCCCAAGAAGTAAACACTTGCAGCTTGCATGTATACCAAATTATCTTTTGTACATTAAATTCTAACAAAGATAAAGTGTTAGCAGCCATTATCTGTTGAACATGCATAGTGATGTTTAAGTATATATGCAAGTATTTTCTCACCTGAATCTGATAATAGTTTTGCCAATGGCTTCAGATGAATCTGCATGCTGAAAAGCAAGTTCGGCATCCTGTGGTGCAAACATTTTATCCACAACAGGTTGCAAGCTTCCATCCTCTAAAAGTTGAGCCAACTGATCTAGTACAGCTGGGCCCATTTTTTCTGCCTCCCAAAGAAAGGGATCCTAAACAGTCAGTAACACATGAGATTACTACGTAACTATCATATTTCCTGGATTATAAGATGCACATACCTATATCAATAATTACCACTGTTCACCCATTTGTCATAGGCACCAAGCTGGCCTGTTTCATTGAGACTTTTGTATCTACATTTTGTGCTGCTGGCTTCATCCATTCCTTTTCCAATACAGCATCACTGATTTAAAGTACCTAACTATAACAGGACAAGAGATAAAGCATGAAGTTACTCACTACATAATTTTCCCCATGTCCCATTTAGTTCAACACACTTAGGCTCAGGTTCCTATGAAACATTGGTAACTACCTGCATAGTGTCATATGCTGGATTTGAGATTTTCATGGCAGTGTCGGTGAAGAGGACAGTCTTATGAGTTCAGGGAGAGTTCATGGAGGAATGTCAGGCTGTCTGAACTACATGGCATTCATTTCAAGCCAGAAGATTTGTACGCTGCATAATCTTCACATGAGTTTACAAGTATATCTACTCTGGACTAATTTAGACAGTATACAATTACTCTCAGTTTATATTACCAAATTCTGATGTACTTATTCTCATCATTTGAAATTTTGATCCTGTGTCCCTTACCTTCCAATTTACACTTAACTTTAAATAAAGTACTTTACTATCTTATACATGATGATTCTAATCCCAAATTTTTATTTCATATATAGTCTCCTATACAGGAGTACAAGGTAGCGTAGTTGGTTGAGGCACTATGCTTCAAGCTGGGAGGTTGTGGGTTTGATTCCTGATGTCATTGGATTTTCTTCAATTGACCTAATCCTTCCAGCTGCACTATGTCCCTGGGGTTGACTCAGCCTCTACCAGAAATGAGTACCTGGAATCTTCCTGGGGGTGAAGGGCAGCTGGCGTGTAAGGCTGACAACCTTACTGCTATCTGTGAGCCGACTGTCTAGAAAATGTGGGAGCCTCAACCTCTCATACCTCTATGGGCCTTCATGGTCTGTTAATAGGGATAGTTTTACCTTCTTTTTTGTTTCCTATGTCTTAATGTGCACATCAGTACCTTAGTAAGTGCCTGTATATACGAAAAGCCTAGGGCTTCTGTGAGTATCCTGACTGTGGCCTCAAGAGAAAACTGCAGCAATGAGGGCAGCATCAATGCTTCAGCCAGCATTGCAATCTTTGCATTTACAAAAGGTGTTTGATCGTGTTAACCATAAAATATTATTGGATAAATTGGAATTCTGTGGATTTAAATGAAAATTCAAAACACTTATTGGATCTTATTTGACAGGTAGATATCAAAGAGTTGTATTGGGTAATAGAATTGAGAGTAACAACTCATCCAAATGGGAAACAATTAAATGCGGTGTTCCACAGGGCTCGAGTCTTGGTCCGTTGTTTTTTCTGCTTTATATTAATGATTTACCTAAAATAATAAATAATATGGTATTATTTGCAGATGACACCAGTATTATAGTAACTGACACTAATAAGTTAAACTTTGAAATAAATTTTAATAAATCTTTCAAAGATATAAATACATGGTTTAATGCTAATTTGCTTACCTTGAATTTTAATAAGACTCAGTAGGCCGAATTTTGACATATCAATTATTATAATATCACTACTCAAATTAACTATGATCAGATAAATTTAACAAATGTGATTGAGACAAAATTTCTGGGATTAATTATTCATGGAAACAGCATACTGATTTTGTTATTACTAAAACTATCATTGCATGTTACGCATTGAGAAAATAAAATATTGTCATGTGTTGGGTATGTCACGTGACAAAAAAATTCACATGGGTCTCAGATCCAGCGAATTTTTATTTGACACTCAATCTTACACACCATACAAGTTAACACTTCAACTATTCTGCGGTGGCTATCTTTCAACTGGCTTGTATGAAGGCTAATTAGCTCTGTCGTTCTCGGCTTATGTAGGTGTTCTGTGGACCGGATACAAGACACCATTTGCCAAGGTTCGATCTCAAGTGTTCGGCAATCCGTTGCTTCGCGAACGCTCTTTATACACTGGTAACGTGTTTTTATATTGCAAAGGAAAGTTATTAGAATTATAACGAATTCTAGACCAAGAGAGTCTTGTAGGGACATTTTTAAGAATTTGGAAATAATGACGTTCTACTCTCAGTACGTATATTCATTAATTTATGCACAATTAATAATAAACATTTAATTTTAACAATGAGATTCACAAATACAAAACTAGAGCCCTCAATAATATATATTTACCTGCAGTTAACCTAACAAAATACAAAAAAGGTGCATACATATCAGGTATTGAAGTTTTTAATCATATTCCTCAAACAATAAAAATGTTGGCTACTAATGTCAGAAGTTTTAAATCTGCATTGAAGAGGTTTTTATATCATCATTCTTTTTATTTCATGAATGAATGTTATCAACATAACTGGTCATAAGTGTGTAAATTTGTAATGTATTTAATTCAGTTAAGATAGGTAATTTAAATAAAACTATTAATTCAGGTTTTATAGTAAGTTATTTTTAAATTATCTTATTCAATTTTTTACTTTATATTATTATTTATGTTAATCTATTAATGTAAGTGATTTTAATTATGTGACTCATAATTTTGTATATGTATCTTGATATATCTAATTTCAAAGGGACCATTTCCACATCCTAGGTTTGTTACCTATATGGATATATGGAAAATAAGGAAATGAATGAATGAATGAATGAATGAACGACCTTTGCCAAAGCCATCTGGCAGTGAGAAAGGATTCCATGCTTTGATCAAAACTGCAGTCTTCAACTTTTCCAAAAATAAGTTTCCATCACTGATATGCATATTCAGTGAAACTGTGATTTAATATATATTATCTGTGAAAACTGTAGCTGGAGATGGGAACTGTAGTAGGCAGCATCATATTGCTGTTCTGTCAAGTTTAAAATATGCGGTGCAATTCAAAAGTTTCTGAAATTCGAATTTTGCGCGCGAATGGTATGAGTACATCGAAATACCACTAGGTGTCTCCCCACACACCCTTCTTGAATCAGTGTGGCAAGCGGAGTTGAGTTGAGTGGCTGGGTTTATTGTTGGTGAACGTATTCCATTGTTGTTTTCTGTGAGTTTGTTGTTTTGCGATGGCTGACCTGAGAGAGCAGCGTGTCTGTATAAAGTTTTGTTTTAAACTTGGGAAAACCGCTGCAGAAACGCACTAAATGTTGAAGCAAACTTTTGGTGACAATAGTTTAGGCCAGACACAAACGTACGACTGATATAAGCATTTCAAAAATGGCTGAACATCGACTGATGATGATGATGATCGTTCGGGACAGCCTTCAACTGGCACCACACTAGAAAATGTCGCGAAAGTTAGGGATCTGATTCTGCAAGATTGTAGACTGACAAACCAAGACCTCTGTAACACCTTGAGACTAAGTTATGGTACATGTCAACGAATTTTGTCAGAGGAACGGAACATGAGGAGGATTGCAGCAAACTTTGTGCCACAACTGCTGCAAAATGAACAGAAGCAGCATCGCTTGGGAGTCTGCAGGGAACTTCAACAGCAGCTTCGAGAGGATCCAAACTTTCTTTCGAAGGTAAGCAGCAATTGTTGCAATGGAAGAGCCCTTCTTCAACTCAGCTCAAAAAAGCTCGACAAGTCAAGAGCAACATTAAGTCCATGTTGATCTGTTTTTTTGATACTGATGGGATTGTTCATAAGGAGTTTGTCCCTCCTGGTCAGACAGTCAATAAAGAGTTCTATCGCGATGTTCTAAGGCGTTTGGGGGAGGACATGAGGAGAAAACGTCCGGAGCAGTGGTACACGAACGACTGGGTACTCCACCAAGACAACGCATGACTGCATACAGCTTACATTGTGCAAGAATTTTTGGCTAAAAACTAGATGGCAGTTGTTCCTCACCCACTCTACTTGCCAGACTTAGCTCCATGCAACTTCTTTCTCTTCCCCAAGATGAAAATCAAGTTGAAGGGGCGAAGATTTGATACAGTTGAGGAAATTCAAGCAGAAACGCAGACGGTACTAAACACCCTAACAAAGAAAGACTTCCAGGATGCATTTCAGAAGTGACAGAAATGCTGGGATCGCTGCGCTCCCAAGGGGACTACTTTGAAGGTGATGGTGCAGAATAAGATTCAGGTAAGATGTAATAGTTTTTATTAATATATTTCGGGAACTTTTGGATTGCACCACATATTAGTATAAATGTAGCTACCTTTCCAAAATTTTCAAGGTATCAAGGTTCAGTATGTTTGAAGGAGTTTGTTTTTAACAATTTCCTATTAAAATTTCCCTGGACTTGATACTAGTTTATTAGCAGATGTCAGAGTCTGACTACTGATATCCATGATTTTAGGCACATTCACAAGAACTGTGAGAAGCACCTACAAGCTTCATCATGTTTCTCTGTCTGTCCATATGAACCAACTTGGCTCCCACTGGATGGATTTTTGTGACAGTTTATATTGAGGAGTTTTAGTAAACTCTCTCAATGTAATTTAGTACTGGTTAAAACTGGACTGAAATAATGGACACTTTACATGAAGACTCAAATGCATTTGTCTCCTACTCCATTGGTGAGAGTACACTGGGGTTACCATGAGAGCAAAGCCCTGTCATTAATTAACTTCACAGATGAAACATCTAACTGCATCTCATATGTTGTTATATGCACATATCCCATCTCATTCTCTTTTGCTTTCCTCATCCACCTGTTTTTTCTAAAGGCATTCCTCAATAGTTTATTTCAACTTGACCATGTATCATCCATCTCTCATCTCTTTTTCAGCCTCCTTACCTTCCTGGGATCTAGTAATCATAATTTGCCTTGTTCAAATTAGACTATAAACTCTAGTCTTTACAGTATTTTTATCGAACTGCTCTACTGCCATCTGTAAGCCATTAAGAGTTAGTGATGTAAAACTCTACAATTACATAACTTAACTATATGAAACAGAGTCTGTGACAGATATTTCTGAGCCCTAAAAATTCTAAAAACTGATTGAACATACAATATTAAAGACTACATAACACTGACTGCAACTTCTTTTATGAAAGTTTCCTTTCCTGTTGCATTCTTGATTCAAGTAATAAAGAGTCTTGAAAATCACTTTGTGGTAAAAAAAAAAAAAGCTGTCCATGTAACAGGCCGCAAAGGCCAATAGGGTTGTGAGAAGTCAAGGCTCCCTCATTTTCTCTAGACAATCGGCTCACAGATGGCAGTAAGGTTGTCAGCCCTATGTGCTGGCTGCCCTTGTGGCGTGTATTCCACGATAAAACTTTTTCAGCTTGTCTGGTGAATGTGTGTGCATCCACTGCTTTGACTGCTCCTTGGTTTCAGCAGTCAAAAACGAAACCCAGGTTCCATCACCTTGAACAATATGGTTGAAAAATTCATCACCATCTTTGTGGTATCACTCTAAAAATGTCAAAACTGAAGCTATTCTCTGCATTTTCTGTGCACCCGTGAGCATTTCTGGAACCCATCTTGCACAAAACTTGAGATGATAGCCTAGCCTGTGATAATATCATAGAGAACAGTCCTTTAAATTTGTGAAAATTCATACAAAAGTTCTGTAATTATTAAGCACCATTTTTCACAAATTATTTGGTCAATACTTTGAACAAGATCACTCATTACAGATGGCCGGTCAGCCACCTCGTTATTCATTGTGAACATCTGTTCACCCATCTCTGGACATTCTACACCATTGTGTTACAGTTCTTTCACTCATTACATTTTGGCTGTAAACTGTGCATAATTCAGGATGGATTTACATAGATTCATGTTTTTAACATGAAGAAAATGGATGATTGCATGAATTTTATATCTGGTGACATTATCAATCACAGAATGTATTATAACTCACTCTCTAGAGACAAGAACAAAAATTAGGTAACCAGTTATATGATGGTTTACAAGGCAATGAGTCACATGATGCTACCTTGCATGCGCAAGCTCTCCCCTGCTCCTAAATTAGTTGCCTAAAATAAAGAGGTTACTTTCTCAACAGCCCTCATAAAACCCCAGAGTGAGTTTCCAGACAACCTGTACTACTGACCTTAAATGATAATGGTCACATTATTATAAGAACACAATCTTGAATCTCTGAAGAGTAAAGTAAAGTAAGTAAAGCTATCCCTGTAACAGGCCATGAAGGCCCATAGGGTTGTGAGACGTTGAGGGTCCCACATTATCTAGACAATCGGCTCAAAGATGGCAGTAAGGTTGTCAGCCTTAGAGTGCTAGAAAAAACCTTTATGCATTTCCTCATTCAGACAAAGGTTTCTTTTATTATTATTATTATTATTATTATTATTATTCTAGGGGTGAGGGGAGACTGATCTTGTTGGTCCATTGTACAAGAGTTGAATGACAAGGAAGAGAAATGAAGCATTTAGTAGAATGCGAATTGGTCGGGGGAACCCAATTACAGTATATATCTGATTATCCATGTCAACGAAAGGCCAAAGACACATGAATAATTAAAAAAATGGATAATTCAACTTCTGAAGCATGAGATCATGGTGACCATTGAATATAGAAATATGAAAATGTACACGTAGCATCCAATTTGTTAAATTATCTTGAAAACCTTAAGATTTGTGGAAAATATGTACTGAATGTAAAATGTTTCATATCTATCTACAACTTCTGTTTGAAAAATTTATCACTCTGATACATTTTTAACAAATTATGCTTAAGGTATACACAGAAATGCATGTAGGTCTTAGCCTATTGTGATTGTTAACCTATATGTGACAGGAAAGAGAGAGAAACAGTGTTGATGGTGGATGAATGAGAACATAGCAGCCACATTATAAGTCTGTAATAACATTTAATAAACATAACTGTCTATAAATGAAATATTCTATGCATTTTTAAGGCCTAGCACCACAAAAGAACTTAAATTTGGTTTCTCAGATAACAGTATGTGTCAGAAACAACATAAGAAGGCACATTTAAAATTATTTGTAACTGACAGCTAATGATAAACATTTGATTTTTTTACTGCACATTATCAGATGACTTTCTGAAATTTTACAATTTTTTTAAATTCCTACTTCCATCCAGATAATTCCCTTATATACTGAAACTTTAAGATTCATAACTTAAGCTGTTCACAAATAACAGATTCAAGTGTTTTCCAGTGTTGTCTATAAGAACTGTCTTGAAAGAATATTCACAGTGGTATGTACCAGTAACATTTACAGCAGCTTTTGATTCTGTTGTACCAACAACTATTACAGCATGCACCAAAATTTACAGTATTGAAATGAAAAGCCATCCTGTTGATACCACTGTCTATTCATGTGAAGGCCCCTTGCACAACAGAACCTTCTCAAATCCTGAAGAAATGGTCCAATCACCATGTCCCTGTACCATTCTTGGGTGACGGTAAGAGCACTGCTTTCCTCATCCTCAATGAAATAGGGGCCTAATATACCGTGTGCTGAGACGGCACACCATATCGTCACACATGTACTATGTAGCGGTTTCTGGACGATAACATCTGACCACTCAAAACCAAGGAAGCGAGTTCCTGGCGTCCACTTACGTATGAGCGGAAATAATATTCAACTATGAATGCTTTATCCTCCGTCGAGAGACCCATTTCCAACAACTGCACAACACAACTTCCTTTTCACTAGTGGGACCACGTGTGGCTGGAGCTATACCCCGTTGACAAACACATGTGCGTTCGAGATGCACTAGTTTCAGTACTGAATATTTTGGAAATCATTCTTGAACATATTTACCTGTATTAGACACCTGATTCGAATCCAAAAGGCATAGATTGATCTAAAGAGGAACCCATAAGAGTCAGATGCAAGTTCTGATGTTTCTGTTGATACAACAAATCCTCCAGGTTTACAGAACTTGAGGCAAGGCTGATATGCAACAGATCCTTCTGTGTTGAAAATAACGTCAAACCTGAAAGCAACATATTTATGATATGAGACAAATATATACAAGATTGGTCATGCAAATATTCCATAATGATATACACAACATTCACAATGACATACTTTGCAGTTTATTAAGTTTACTTATGGTATGCTTATAAAATGTAATGTAACACTTTACAATATACATGAACAGTTCATTTATGGCCTTAAATAAGATGTACTCTATTATGGGTCAATATGACTGCAAGTCTGAAATGCACGACAACTTTTAGTGAATTACTGAAGTACTGAATTTAAACAAGTATCTGTTCGCAACAGCTTAGGTGCTGATACTAGGTCAAAGATGGACATGACCTTTGATAAATTAGTGCAACGACCTCCAACATGAAACATTACCAAAATTAGTTCAGTGATTCTAAAGTTATTAGATGACATGGTGGAAATTTTTTCTTTTGCTCAACTATTTCATAATCAGAAAGAGTTACAAAAGTGCAATGAGCATAAAATATGCACTTCATTTATCTTTGCAACTTCTATTTGAAATATTTGCTGATGCAATAAATATTTGGAGAGTTATGCACAATTTTTGTTCAAGGTGTATGTGGATTTCATGTAGGAAGAAAGTTCCCTCACTGTTACTGTTGTAACTGTATCAATGAAAGAAGAAGAGAGGGGAGGCCAAGGTCACACTTCTGCAAGCCTATTGTATCAGTCTGCCATGTGACACTGCACTGTGAACATGCATTGTTTTTACATGAGTGCTTTCTTGACTTTGTGTTTCATTTTGTCTGTGATGCATGGCAAAATTGAGCAATGTGTCTGCATCACGTTTTGTGTGAAGCTCAGTAATTCCTCTACCGAAACCCTTGAAATGCTTTGTGAGGCTTTTGGAGAACATTCTTTAAGCCCGACAGTAGTTTCTGAATGGCATTCACGTTTCAAGGATGGTTGAACTTTCAGGGTGACCAAGCACCAGCAAACGACAGAAAATGTTGAAAAAATTAAAGAACTCAACCATGAAACCAATGCTGAACAATCCATGAGCTCACAGACACTGTTGGAATTGGTTATGGAGTTTGCCAGGAGATCTTAACAAGAAATTTGAACATGGACTGTATTGCGGCAAAGTTTTTTGGTAAAAAGCAGTGGCACATAAATGTGTGTCTTGAGCTATGAGAGAAGGCTAATGAGGACCCAACTCTAGGATCATAACAGGTGATGAAAGTTGGATATATGGTCATGATCTAGAAACAAAGCAACAATCATCACAGTAGAAGAGCCCACAATCACCAAGAGCAAAAAATGTGTGGCAGGTCCAAAGTTCAGCAAAGAGCATGCTCATTGTTTTTTTTTTTTCGACATGAAGGGGATGTTCACTGTGAATTTGTTTCTCCTAACACTACGGTCAACTCTGACTTTTACTCATGCTGTGACATTTTGAGAATCTTGAGAGAAAATGTGTGACGAAAGACAGGAACTTTGGCGCAACCACAGATGGCTCCTTCATCACGACAATACAACCTGCCCACACGTCCCTAAAAATCACAGAGTCTATGACTAACAACAACACGGTTATTATTCCCCATCCTCCATACTCACCAGACTTAGCCCCCTGTGATATTGATTTGTTTCCCAAATTGAAAATTAAACTGAAGGGATGTTTTGAAACAGTGCCTGACATCGAAAGGGAATCGTAAGTGGTGCTCAACAGCATTAAGGAAAATGACTTCTGCGGTGCTTTTTGACTGTGGAAAAAACGATGGGATTGCTGTATACGTTCACAAGGAGAATATTTTGAAGAAGATGACAGTCAAAATTGAGTAAGTTAAGCCAGCATTTCTTTTTTGATCTTGTCCGGGATCTTTCCGATAACACCTCATGAAGTGTCCATTCTTTTTGTCAAATTTGAACCAACAATGGAAGGAACCTAAAACGTTCAGTGATAGTCTCCCATATTCAATTTCATAAAAATCTATCCAACAGTTTAGGCACCAATACTAGGTCACATATGGACAACATTATTGCATAAGATATTCTTCATTTAGTTTTAAAGAACCAATGGTGAGAAAACTAGAAATGGAGTATGAATGAAAGGAGATTAGAATCGACATGAGTCACCATTCTACATGTATTTTACATTATGCCTGTGATCTCCTAACTATTTTTAAGGGCGTAAAACTGTCTCTCACTTGAGGAAAGATAAAGAAATTAATGTTTGGGAACAGATCTGGAGATGAAATAACAAGGCACTGAGAAAACTGAGTACTTATGAGTGTCATCATTTGTATTCCACATAGATTACTGTCAGGAATATTCATTAAAACAGGATGAAGTGGGCAGGACATGCAATGAGCATGGAGGAGACAACACTAATTGGAATATCTCATGCAAAGAAACAACTCTGGAGATCTTGCAGACTGACTGATTGAGACATAGGTCACTTAATGAAGCTCCGTCAACCACAGATTTTATTCAGTATGGTCTTTTTAGAAGCAACTGCACAGAGAGATTGACTGTCTGAATCTTAAGTCATCATGAAAATCTTTCAAGTGCAGATGTCATTCAGTATGACTTTTTGAAGGTTAACAAATGGAGAGACTGTGGAAAACCAGAGAGCACTCTGGCCAGGATTATTGGTATCCCAGCAGAGATCTGAATTAGGCATATATATGAGTGTAATATGTAGTGTATTGAAGGCAGAGAATCCAAGAAATGCAAAAATTCTCAAGTTAATTTTCACTGCATGTGAATAATCTTAAATTCTGAGGAAGAATCCAAAATGAAAGCCTAAATAGTATATTTAAAAACAAGAAAGAAGGGTGGGCGGGAGGGAGGGAGGGAGGGAAGGAAGAACTGGTCTGGATGCTGTGAAGAAGGTTAAAATCTCTTGCCCCTGCCATGAATCAAACTGATTCCTCAGCCATCCAGCCCATAGCTTGTCATTATATTGACTGAACTTTGCCTGCACATGTAAAAACAAGAAATCACTCAGCCGTATTTCATGGCAAATGCACCCCTGTGGTAATCAAAAACGTTTCACTTATGCTTTACATCTGTAATGGAACAGGAGGCTGCATGTTGTAAATGTGGTGGACATCCATTGGACGGCAGGGGAATATTACCTTTGACAACACTTCCAATGGTACACATTTACCACGTATTGTTATTTTTATTATCGATGTTTTCACAATCAGTCAATTTTGTGGAAACACTGTATATGAAATAGCATATGCATTTTATTGATATATAAACTTTTATTCAAGACCATTTTCTTTCAGGCCAATAATCAGAAAGATATGTCCAAAAATGTACTTAGACCTTAAAACTTTTAAGATGGTCTATGAAGGATTTATGGCAATTGCATGACATTTGTTGGAAAGATTACAAAATATTTTGATAACCAGATATACATAGGTAAGTCAATAATTAAGTTACAAATGGATATAGAACTTAAACAAACAAGAGTACTGATTTGAAAAATGCTTTTATTTCTCAACATAATCTCCCTGTTCATTGAGGCACTTGTCCCATCGTTTCACAAGCCCCTGAAAACCAGCACCATAAAATTCTTGGGGCTGCTGTCGGAACCAGGCCTGTTCACATGGCATGGCCTAACTCATAATGCATGACAGGTTAGGTTTTCAAAAAGTCTGTGCACACTGGGTGCCGCTCATGCTGACCCCACAACACAAAATGCAAGGAATTGGTCTGGCATTACAGCATCTCAATTGCTACCTTGATGAAGGACATGATATGCTAGCCCAAATTGTCACAGGTGATGAGTCTTGGGTTTACCATTACCAGCCTGAGACAAAGCATGCGTCAATGCAGTGGAAACATCCTGCGTCGCCTTGAGGCTGGAATGCGCTGAGCAGTATGCCTTCGTGATCCCAGAAGACTGTGAGCATCACTTTCCTGGAGGATGGTGCCACCTTAGACTCTTTTTGGCAGGCGACACATGATGTTTCCACTGCATTGATGTACACTTTGTCTTGGGCTCGTAATGGTGAACCCAAGACTCATCACATGTGACAATTCGGGCTAGCATATCGTGTCCTTCATCGTGGTAGCGATTGAGATGCTGTAATGCCAGACCCATTCTTTGCATTTCGTGTTGTGGGGTCAGCATGAGCGGCACCCATTGTGCAGACTTTGTGAAAACCTAACCTGTCATGCATTATGAGATAGGCCATGCCATGTGAACACGCCTGGTTCTGACAGCAGTCCAAAGGATTTTATGCTGCTGATTATCAGGGGCTTGTGAAACAATGGGACAAGTGCCTCAATGTACAGGGAGATTTTGGTGAGAAATAAAAGCATTTTTCAAATCAGTACTCTTATTTGTTTAAGTTCTATATCCATATGTAAGTTACTTATTGACTTACCCTCGTATAATGAAAACTTTGTTTGCAGCGAATGTGTTAAAATCCTAAACACAAAACAATTTTTTTTATACCCCTCTCGTGAAGCCAGTTGATTCTGAATATCTGCTTTCTCACATACAACTACATCATGGGCACCTAGTGCCTGGATGACAGGAGTTCCTCTTAAGGTTGTGACAGCAGTGACATGAGCTCCCCATAACCGAGCCAACTGGATGAGTATACAACCAACAGGACTGCAACCCATGTGAACCAGGATCCTACAAATGACAGAAAACGAAGCTGAACCATGTGTCCTTTTACAGGGCTCCTCCTTATTGTGGGACTAAGCACCGTATGATGAACAGCACTGTTGGTGCATATTGGCTAATGAAGCCCCCCCCAAAAAAGTATGTGGCATAATCATTAATAATTTTAGATTCTTTAATTCACACATGCATACACATTAAAATCTCTCTATAGATGAATCTCTGTTAAAAGAAAACAGCCATGGGTCTCAGGAGAACATTTCTTATACAGACCCTTCATATCCAATTATGAAAGTTCTGTAATAATAAAATTCCTATAAATACAATGATCTTGTCGGTAAAATGAATTTCCTTGTTGCATTTGTAGTTCTGGCAGCTACATTCATTAATATATTCACTACCATAAAAGTGTTAATGGTCAATAAAGCTTCGCTGCCTGGTATGATTTTTTTTTTCATTGGCGCTACAGCCCTCATTTGGGTCTAGGCCTACCTCCATGAAACTCTCCGTTTCACATCGGTTTTACTAGATCTTAGACATACGGTAGGACTCCTTGGGCAGGTGATCAGTTTGTCGCAAGGCCTCTACCTGTACACAAACACAGAAAAACACACACAAACATCCATGCCCTGAGTGGGATTCAAACCCACGATCCCGGCTTCCGAGCGAGCGAAGACAGAGCATGCCTGGTATGATTTTACATCTATAAAATGTATTTTTTCCTTTTAATTAATGATGAAAAATGTTGAGACATCTGTCATTTTCATTGCGGTGCTACAAACAGTACTATCTTCTGTGATGCGGGAGAAATTTTAGAGGGACGTGTGGCCTTCATCTGCAGGGTTGGAGGGTAAGTGAAGTAAGCAATGCAGGCCAAGCATGGAAAAAGTAGCCTATATTCATACTATTTTCCACACTCAGTTTACTCTGTTTGCTGCTTCATTACTTGGCTTGTCCTTCAACCCAGATGATTAGTAAACCTCTAGCAGACTGCGTAGCAGCACATCCCAGAAGACAGTACTTTTCCATAACATGTTATGTTTGTCTAAATCCCAAACTTCTGTGTCAGTTCTATACAAAATTTCACTTTTTCATGGCAACATGACACAACTATGTGTTTAATTAGCTATTTTAAAGCCACATATCATTATCTGTTAATATGCTTTTGTTTTGGTAAGAAACAGTCACTCTAATATGAAGATTTGTATGCAGAATGACAGATCAACTCTTGCTGCATATTTCACTGCTTTATATATGCAGGAAATTTGTCAATTTTGTTAGGGCATTGCATTTTCACTAAAAGGTCACTGCATGGGTTCCTGCCTTTCCTTCTCTGCCAGCTGTGGTGACGGGGAGGAGTGTGTATTTTTAAGACAGATCTACATTTCAGTAAAATTGATATTTCTCATCATTGTATGGGAGCAAGACTTTGAAATCTGTGCAATACAGCCAGTAACTAACATCTCACCTAATTATATTAAGCATGTACAGAGATCCTTCAGGTGAGGTTAATGAATTTCTAAGGAGACTACATGCAACTTTAAAATATCTGTACAATCCAAAGTCTGAGTTTATAATCTGTGGAGACATAAACATAAACTATTTAAATGAAAGCAGAAAAAAGAAGTAAACTCTTTAAAGGACATACAATCTGTCACACACACACAGTGAATTTCACAAGAGTTCAAAATTCTTCAAGCACAGCCACTGATATCTTTATAGATAATGCAAGGTTAAGCTCTCCTTGTACATCTCCTCTAGTCAATGGCCTCTCTGACAATGATGCTCAATTTCTTACAGTAAATGATATTATTGCGGAAGTAAATTCAACACCCTTGAAACAGAGAACCAGAAAAATAAATAGCGAAACCATTGCTCAATTTCAGCATCTATTAGAAAATGAAATGTGGGAACCTGTTTTCAAAAATAAGGATACAAATTATAAGTTTAACTCTTTTTCACATATTTTTCTAAATATGTTTGAAGCCAGTTTTCATATGCTGAATAAAAGCGTAAGTAGAGTAACAAACCACTGGATTACACAAGGAATAAGAATATCTTGTAAACATAAAAGGCATCTGTATGTAGACAGCAGCAGCAGTAATAATCTCTACATGAGAGCATACTACACAAGGTATCGCAAAATCCTGAGTAGAGTTATAAAAGAGGCTGAAAGGCAGCATTACTGTAGGCTTATAGCAAAATCGAATAATCAGATAAAAAAACCTGGAATATAATAAAACATGAAACAGGAAAATCACATCTGACTGAACAGATGTCTTTAATACTCTTTTTCTAACAATTACAGAAAATCTAAACTTGCATCAGGAAGTGGGAGATAATGTCATTTCATTTTTAAGAGAGGAATTTCCTAGAAAATTCCCTGGTATTAAAACCATTCCAACCACTGAAATTGAAATAAAAAGTATAATACATTCCCATAAAACAAAAAAACTCTTCAGGTTATGATGGAATAACAAGTAAAATGTTAAGTTTGTGCATCTCTAATCAGTAGCCCATTAACTCACATCTGTATCACTCACTATCCACAGGAATCTTTCCTGATCGTCTTAAGATTTCAGCATAAGACCACTATATAATAAAGAGGACAAGTCTAGTATGTCAAACTACAGGCCAATTTGACTGCTAAATACTTTCTCTAAAGTAATTGAAATAGTTATGCACAATAGATTAAGCCATTATTTGTAGAGTAACAATATACTAGTCCCAGAATAGTTTCGCTTTAGGAAAGGAATTTCCATTGAAAATGCAGCCTTTAAGTTAACAGACAGTGTGTTGAAATCTATTAATCAGAAAATGCATGTTGGTGGAATATTCTGTGACTTGGCAAAGGCTTTTGACTGTGTAAATCATTAAATTTTATTAATTGAATTACATTTTTTTGGCATTCAAGGAACAACGTTAAGTTGGTTCAGATCCTACCTAATAAATAGAAAACAAAAGACTGAAATAAAATCATCAAATTCAATCCAAAGTACCTACTCAAACTGGAGAATAATAAAACATGGAGTTCCACAGGGGTCAATTTTGGGGCCTTTGATTTTCATAATTTATGAAACGACCTCCCTCCTACACTAAGGACCTCATCAATACCTACAGTATTTGCAAATGACACTAGTGTTATAATTTCTGGTAAAAATTTATATGATTTCTGCATGTTATCAAGCAAGGTTCTTTCACAAATGAGTAAATGGTTTTCTGCAAACAAGCTGTCCCTGAACCTAGAAAAAACAAACTTAATAAAATTTATAACAAAAAACTCACCACAATATCCATTAAACACAGGATATAATGATAATTATATAGAAGAGGGAGTAACCACAAAATTCCTTGGCTTGCAAATTGATAATCATTTAAACTGGAAAACTCATATTGATCAGTTGATTCCAAAGCTAAGTAGAGCATGTTATGCAGTTAGATTCATGTTACATATTAGTAACACTGACACTCTCAAATCAATCTATTTTGCTTACTTTCACTCTTTAATGAAGTGTGGAATAATTTTCTGGGGTAATTCATCTGACAGTAAAAAGGTATTTACATTGCAAAAGAAAATTGTTAGAATCATGATGGGTGTCAAATTCCGTAATTCTTGTAGAGGTCTATTTAAGAGATTACAGATCCTAACTTTTCCTTGTGAATATATATATTCACTAATAAACTTCATTACAAATAATGAAGAATATTTTCAGACGAATGGGGATGTACATAGTGTTAACACAAGACACAAATACTGTCTTCATAAGCCAACTGATAACCTCGCATGCTTTCAGAAAAGCGCATATTATGCTGGAATCAAAATTTTTAATAACCTGCCATCTGATCTCAAAGGTCTTATGAATGAAAAGGCATGATTTAAAATAGCACTGAAACGATACTTAAATACACATTCATTCTACTCTGTTGATGAATACCTATTGTCTAGAAAATAACTTATGTATCTTTAAATAGCCTTGTGTGTAGTCACTGTGTATGCTTGGTTTCTTTTGTGTGATAATTCCGTTGGGACTGTACATATGTTTCGTATTTATATGACATATTCCACATCCTACAGTTATTTTGACTAACTTTGGATCCATGGAATGCAATGCAATGTAATGTAAAGGGTGCACAAGACACCAAATTTTGTATTATGCAATAGAATTTTGCATGCAAGATGGGGAATTCTTTTGCTCCATCTGTTCCTTTGTGTTCACATGTCCATAAAAAATCAACTTGGGATCAAGTTCAGCATCACTGACTTCAGCTCTTCTTGATATTCACATTTCTTCTGTTAGGCGCTTTAGATGCTTAAAAGATCAGTGTTCAAGTTGAGCTCCAGTACTGTCCAATCAATCCTTGGCAATGAAATTCTGATTTCATCTTTTAAACATGGCATTTGTTCTTACCTTATTGAAAAAATTCCGAAGAGCATTTTGTAATGTTGCATATTCCTTTCTGATATTTTTCGCTGGTATGTGCTCTTAGTAATGGACCATCTTTCCTTTCCATCGTTTTTTTCTTTTCTTGTTACCCAGTTTCCTTCCCTGCATATGATCTTGTGGAGATACGGCACCATAGTTCTTTAGAGACCGGTGGGGGAGTTGCATGATGGCAACTGAGCTATGCAGGAGGCATAATGCTTTATTTCCAGGCTAGGAGGCAACAGGCATGTTCGTTATTTTTCTGCCAGAGAGATGGGTGGATGTTTGACAGGGATCTGCATCATATTGAGTCTGAAAATAATATGTGTGCAGACTGCAGCCATGACCATTTTTTTTTTCCTGTGGAGCTACAGCCCCAATTTGGGCCTAGGCCTACCTCCATGAAACTCTCTGTTTCACTTCGGTTTACTAGATCTTACACATATGGTAGGACTCCTTGGGCGAGTGATCAGCTCGTCGCAAGGCCTCTATCTGTAGACAAACACAGAAAGACGCACACAAACATCCATGCCCTGAGTGGGATTTGAACCCACGATCTCGGTTTCCAAGCGAGCGAAGACAGTGCAT